CCACCTTCCAGCCTGCGCATTGGATTTTTTAGGTGAGACACAGTGTGCGCGGAACTGAGCCCACCCTTTAATCCTGAGGTTCATCTGCCGGGGCCAAGCGAGCTTGGACGGTGGCAGCGAGGTCCTCAGGACGTAGATGGATTGCCTTACGGGCTAACGAGCTCCATCTGCCCGGGGAGGGGCCCCGACTGGGAACCGAACCCGAGTCTCTGCAGTGACAGCGCCGCGTCCTTAACCACTAGACCACCAGGGGCTCCCACCAAACAACATTGCTGCTTAAAAAACACCACTGCTCCCTCTGCTGAGCTCTGCCCTCTTCATAGACACTCATGATAGACAAAGAAGGAAATGCGTGGATAATCAATCCATAATGCCAGGCTGACATGCTACAAAAAGTCATGCAGCAAGCATGATGTCTTACATCTGACTGGTATCAAAATGTGTCAGCTGAGAGGCCAGAAAAGTATCACAATTGGTTTTCATGGAAAAGACCATTACCAGCCACCTAGGAAACCCAGTTTCTGTATCTGTCCCACACCTGTAACCACAGGTTACAGTTTTCCTTTGAGTGAGCTCAAAGGAAAAAAAAAACACACCAATTATTAAATAATGACAGAACAGCATTGTCATTAATTTGAGATAAAATTAGTTACCCAAGAAAGGGTGTTTGAGGATAATGTTTTCACAGTACTCTGCAAATGCAAGGGCTTACAAACTGTACATCACAAGAAAAGTACTCACAATGTTCCTCATGTGTTTCAACATTATTGTCAGGCGTGTGTTCTCGTAGGATATCACTAACTGTACACCAGGCTTATGACCAATTGACTGAGGACCTGAAAAAGGCCAGATAGTTTGATTTTTTAGTTAACAGCTCAGAGGAAGTAGATCTGTTAAATACTGAAGTACACATGAACTAATATATAAAAAGAACCTTTTGCATTTTTAAATCAGGGATGAAATTAGGACATGGGTAAGGAGTGTGATGGAAGAAAGTGGTCTGATATGCAGTGCTCATTTTCTTTCCTGTTTATGAACTGAAAGTAAGATTTTTTGTTTTCTAATTGCCATCAATCTGAAATTCAGTGGGAAATTTATGCTTGAGTGACAAATAATTGAGGTGGTTTTTTTTGGCAGTCATTGATGACACTATTCACTATTGATGCAATTCTTGTCTGGCTAAAACCACTGGATTTTTTTTTTTTTCAGTTCCCAACAGAACGGGAAAAAAAAGAAAAAAAAGGAAAGAAAAAAGAGCAAGTTTCCAGACTAGTTCCAAAACAAATTAGGGAAACAACATCTACATCTATCATATATAAATTCTCCCTTTCTCATTCTGTACTTTTACTGTTCCAGGCTGTTTTTCATGCAACCCATTGCCTTCACAGATTTTTCTACTAAAATGCACTTGAAGAGCTTGATTCCACTCCCACTGAAAAAAACATTTTTCATTTTCCAGGCAACAAGGATCAGTCTCATAATGCAGAAGAAATGACTAAGCATGTCCTGTTCCATCTTTCTGCTGGAGGCACTGAGCCAGCTGCCCTCACTGCCAAAAAGGTGTGTCCTTGAAGCTGGGTAAGTAAGGTGGTTTACCTGCCCTGCAGAGACAGGAAAGAAAATACAGGTGCCTTTTACCACCAGGTAGTGGTGAACACAACCCCTCCTCAATATCTTTCTGATCTTCTTATTTGGCAGTGTTTCACCTGAGCAGGGTGGACATGAGCCATTTTGCACCACCTGGTCTGAGACCTGAGGTTCTCCCTACACGGTCACAATCAAAGACAGTGCAGATACTGCCTGTGTGAAGTGGCCTGGTTTCACTTATGCAAACAGGGCTTCACTTAATTAGACCAAAGCTGTATTACAACCAATATTGTGTATTTACTGCACTTGAAAAAGTAAGAACTCAGTCCTGCTAACCTAATGACAAACAGTGACGTCTCATGAGCTGGGCTCTGATCTCCTGCCTCCCCATTAAAAAGAAGTAGCTGAGCTTGAGACCTCAGTCAGAGAAGTCCTGCTCCCCTGCAAGCACCTTGGGATCTGTCACTGACACCCCACCCTTAAACCCACCACAGGGTGAGATAATGACAGGAGACAAGACAACATGGTGGCAATTAATTCTTTAAATGGAAACAAGTTCTGAGAAGCAGAAGGAGTGAGACAGGACGATGAAAATGAAAGAACAACCATCACGCACGAGGGCTACGCACTGTCAGCAAGAGGCTTTCCAGAGAGCATCAGGACTGTTGACCTTCAGTAGCAGGCAGGGTTCTCTCATCTCCCTTCCAGCCCCAGCAGACACCTGTGCACTCTCTGTCTCACTCTTGCTCTCCCTTTCCCACACGTGCACCAGAGCTCGCACAGCCAGCATTGCGAGAGCAAGAAATCCAACTCCCCCTCCTCAGCCTCTCCTCTCGGAGGGGAACTTACAATGAATAAGCCACACCGGCTGTATTTTTCTGAAGAAACCAAATGTGTAACCTCTGGAGTGAACAGAGGCTAAAATAACTGCTAAGCAGACGGAATGACAGCGGTGTCATGTACTACTGACAGCCAGAGCACCAGTGCAACTGCCTTTTATCTTAAGGAAAGGAATTAAAATGAACTAAAAATAACACAGTATATACATGCAACTGCCATCATATAATTTTTTCAGGCAGCCTGGATACCAACACTTCTGAGTTTCTGATGTTTGGAATGGAATTTGAGAATATGAACCCATCTCCAATTTCTTCCCTTTAGAGATTACAAAAATACATTTTTAATCACATCCTAATTAAAGAAGGGCCCGAAACACTCCTGAAGAATTGAAATCTTACAAAGAAATCACTAAGCTGGGACTCAGAACAGTGAGTTGCAGCTCTTCATTTGTTATTCTCCCTTATGAACCTTGACGAATCACTTGGCAAGACTGTACCCTATTTCATTTCTTGTGGTATGCAAATAAGAAGAGGGAGGGATAGGGAATGAAAACTCCATAAACCACACAATGCTGAGTTTTTTCCAGAGTAAGAAGAAGCCCTTAAAAATCATTTCCTCCTCTCTTCATGCAAAGTCACTTTACCTTTTTTTTTTTTTTTTAAGCTTTGAGTCTTTTTGCCTTTTAGTTGCAACAGGAAATGTAGAATTCTAGACCATTACACACAGTATAACACAAGGGGAGTTGTGTTTTAGTGTAAGGGAACATTTGTGGGGCTCTGTTAATTTGTGAATTGCAGTGACTCACCCTAAGCAGTTAAGCATTTCAGAGGCTAAATTATGTCATCAGATCCAGCTGATCCCTGTGCCTTCTCCCTCCTACCAGCACTACCAATGCCTTTTTTTTGCATTACTTAAGTTTTACAGTGTAGTGCTTTTATCCAGC